AATCAATTGATCTGTTACCCAATTAACAACGTGACCATTGAGGGTTAAATGTATGGATCAATGAGGGGAACTTCTCCTGGAGTACTGTGTTGACAATTTCACGCATAATAATTCGCATATTAGAGTAAGGTTTTTGTTTAGAATATCGTTGCATGCCGGTTTTAAAGACTCTCCCTATCACCAACTAAGCTCGTGTTACGCGGTGGAATTAATCACATGTGCGGTTGCCAAAGTGAAACAATACAACCATTGATGGTAAATGTACTGCTCACTGAGCGAAAACTCCCCGATGGAACCGGGGGTAATTCCAAGCATAATAATTCGCATATTAGAGTGTGAAGGTTTTGTTAGAAATTAAAATTGCTTAACACAGAAGTGTTTGAGTGTTTCTTTCCTGAGTCCATGCATAATCATCTTATTCATAAGAACTGTATCCTGTGTTGAGATTTGAATATGGAGACCTGACATAACACACTAATACATAATCAGTAAATGTTAAAGCGAGAATAATTGTATTATACTGATCGATAATACGAACCTAGACAACGAAGCCGAGTTTAATCAGGCATACTTACAGCAAACCTGCATAACTTCACACGATTAATTGTACCATCCCGATTGATAATACTACCATCGACAATGAGGTTTAGCCTAATTATGATTACTGCGTACATTAGCATAACCACACACATTCGCATAAATTAATAAAATTTCTCTTGAATTAGCATAATTTATATAGTTACAAAAATTTACATAATTTCGGATAAGTACGCATTTTTTAAACTTCATTTAATTTTATTTTCATCAATTTCAATACCCGGGATATACAACAGGGGGCAGACAGAGAGAGGGGGGGGGGGTAGAGCAATTAGCATGTCAATGAGAGATTAAGTTTGAACCACCTCTACGGGGAGGTTTCAAGTTTGTTTTCTCTTTCTCTCTGTGTCTCTGTGTTGTCTCTCTCTGCTTGTGTGTCTGTCTTTGTGTCTCCGTGTCTGTGTCTTGTCTCGCTCTCAAATTTTACACTTAACTTATAATTTACCAATCTTTGGAAGAACGTAATCAACTAGGCTATGCGTTGTGTTGACCGACTCTGTGTTGCATTGCATTACATTTCCAAATTGTACTAAGTTTGTTTGATTAAGTGTGTTTCCTCTCTCTCTCTCTGTGTCCTCGCGTTGTTGCTCTATTATTTCCTGCAGTCACGAAAGCTCAAAATCTCGCATTACCATGCTAATTTCTATACCCCTCCCCCTCTCTCTCTGCGCGCCTCTCTATTTATTTGAGGCCTCGACACAGAGGCATTGTTTCTCTGTGTTCCTACTGTATGTGTGTGTCTCTCTCTCTGTGTCTCTGTATTGTCTCTCTCTGCTTGTGTGTCTGTCTATGTGTCTCCGTGTCTGTGTTTTGTCTCTCTCTTAAATTTAGCAATCTTTGGAAAAAAGTAATCAACCAGGTAGGGTGTTGACTTATGTTAGCCGGCTCTCTGTGTTGTATTGCATTTTATTTCTAAGTTTGCTAGGTTTGTTTTCTCTTTCATTTGTACCTGATGATGATTGCTTGTGTTGCAATCGAAACGTCGTATGCTAATATTTATTTAATTTCTTTCTTTCTATGTGACTTTACCGAAAGAAACATAGTGTGTTTTTTTTATTTTACCAGGTAAGGCCCACTGAGCTATATAGCTCAAATAATATTTTTTTCCCTTTTTCTGGAAACAAAACTGAAACCTTTTAACAATGAATCATGTTTACATTAACCACAATACCTGCAGTCAGAATGCAAACAAAAACACACTCTGATAATTTATGCATTGTCCTTGAAATGTATTGGTCCACACCAGAGACAGCTTTCCTTAGAGACTAGTCTCATACGGTGTTCGACCAGATGACGCCAAAAGGCACACAACTCAAAGACAACGCACTATCAGAGTAATGAGGGCTCGGGGTAAGCATTTACATCATGAGTCCTCCTTTTCCAGTAGCAAAATATAATAACAAGTTTTTTCCCCTTTTTTCTGGCAACAAAACTTACCACAAATGATAGCTAAACAAAGTAGCGTATTGCGTGGAATTTTTTAACAGCCATGAATTCTAAACGCGTGTTGATTTTAAATGTGGAGGGAAAATCGGAGGACCCGGAGAAAAATCCATGCGACCATGGGTAGAACATGCAAACTCCAAATGTACAGGCAAAATGGTCAGGATCCAACCCACAACCTCCTGTATACCTTGCGAGGTAGTTAACATCTCGCCACCATGGCACTCCAACAATGGGGCAAGCTTCTTCAATGTCTATACCTCTCTCCATCCAGGAGAATAGTTTGTAGATCGGCAGGTTTCATGTGGTGGGGTTAATTGTGGGTAGGCCCACCCCTTAACTTAAAACGTCTGGTAAGCGTAGAAGAGTTGAACAAATTCACGAAATATGCTCTTGTGCTCCCTCTAGTGGAGAGCTTTCCGCAAAGTTGCACTATTACATTTTAAATTTTGTATGTACGTGTATGTTGAACTTATTTTATACCGTATGTATCCAACCGTCCTAATCAGATTGTGCGGGAGATAATTGGAGGTGAGGAAAACCTTTTACTTTAACTGAAAAATGAATGCACCATGCAGGGACTTAATAAGACTATGGTAAGCGTAGATGTTGCTAGATGACTGCCGCTGGCCAACCAGGCACATGCACAATATTTATTCATTCCTAACATTCCACAGGAAATAATTTTAGATTCATGAAAATTGAATAGGTACTGTATTTTCCCGCATATAGCCTGTATACGCACATAACCCACAGACGCATATACCCCGCAAAAATAGCGTTTTGTGTAAAATAAATTTCAGATAGCCCGCACCTCCATATACCCCGCATGCATTAATATCTATAACGTCGTTACTGCAGCTTAATTCCATCATATTAATACAAAGTTTACATCCCACTATCAATTGTTAAATTAAAATCATAATGTGCACAAAGACAACAAACTAACCGGAAACGAGTGAACTTAAAACAGTAAATAAGTAACAAAAGTAAATATCCAATTAATATGTAACACATAACTGGTAGATAAGTAAGTAAGCATACTGTTAGGCTTACCAGCATTCGACCTCATCATATTACAGCTACTGGACTGGTAGTTACCCCTGTATAGTTTTAGCACTGGTAGATTGCGCACTGCGCAGACAATAGCGGCACTACGGTAACGCCATTGCCTACTGGCAACAAAGCCATTGTAAGTTTGAAACAAAGCTCATGGTCGCGCCTGTATAGTGCTCAGCCAATAGCAGTGGCGTAAGACCACTCAGCAATTATGATTGCGCATCTGGTAGACGCTTGTTAAGGCCCTTCCCATTGTGCAATCCATAGCCTCAGCTGAAACTTTCGCACCCCCCTACAGCCACTGAAAGTATTACGGTAAACAAAGTGCGCCCACTTTCATTGTACAAACAAGTCGAATGATTTAAAACGTGAAAACATGTGCAATTTTAGTGTGAGTGGTTTATTCAGCAGTGCTTTAGTCAAAGGTAAGCGGTGCATAGTGGATAGTCCTACCATGAAAAAAATTCAACGAGTTATGACATGTCACACGTGTAAAATATTTTTGGGATAGCCCGCACCTCCATATACCTCACAGGGTCTTGTTTTGTTTGTAAAAAGTGGTATACCCCGCGGGTTATATGCGGGAAAATACGGTACTCATATAATAGGATTTCATGATAAAGTTTTGCAGGTTAAATTACGTAAATGTAAATATGTCGTCAACCCAGCTCTCCCTGGAGTTATAAAAAGTGGTGGTGTATGTATGTTGAACTTCGTTCACACTATATATAGCCAACCATGCTTATAGGAGGTCGAGGGGAAGGACAACAAACTAAACACAATTTTTGTTATCATTAAATGAGTTCTGAATCTTAATTTAAAAGTACATAGCTCCAGTGGCTTTCTAATATTGGAAGAGCATTTTAGACAGTCGCAGAAGTGCATTTCAAAGTGTATGATTATGCTCCTTGACGAGGTCAGCAAAGTATTGTGGTTCAATTGTGGCAAGCAGTTTGTGTGTAATGAGTGCGACCTTATAATGCATTCATTCAGCAACCAGAAGCCAATGCAACTCAGTGAGCACGGGATGGACAATGTCGGATTTTGTAGTACCCATCATGACATGTGCCAAATAATGTTGTACGCAGTGCTGGTTAGTAATGTTTTGCCAGGCACTCCAGAGTCGTGAGTTGCAATCATTGATTCTTGTTGATACTATGCTACACACCAAAATGTTGGCTATGTCATGACTCACTAGTGATAGAATGTGTCGTCGAGCCCTGATATGAAAATTGCAGGACCTGACGATATTTTGTACGTGGAGATCAATCGACATAATCTGGTTAAGCATGGTGCCGAGGCTCTTTAGATGAGTATACAACTGAATCCTGGAGTCCGCAAACGCCACATCCAATCCCCCCACTTTTTTTTGCCTGAGCCCGAGTGCCAACCAGCAGAACCTTTGATTTTTCTGGATTAAGCAGCATTTCGTTTTGTGTAAACCACACATGCACCACTCACATGTAATCTTCGAGGTTACAGAGGCTCTCAATATCTAACTTTGACTTCACTGCCATGTACAATTGTATATCATCAGCATATTGATGGAATGAAATTACATCGGCAATCAGAGAGATATGTTGAAATTAGGAAGGGCCCAAGTTCGGACCCCTGTGGTACATCGACTAGGCACGGCATTGGCGATAACTGTTCGTTACCCAGCTTGACAAACGGTGATCGACCTCGTACGTATGACTCAAATCACCCCAGTGCTGTCCCCAATACACAGAACCTTAGTCGCCTTATGAGTATCTAAATATTAAATGGTATTCTTCTTGATATAGACATTTCTATACGTGTAGCAAACCGGCAACCATTCTATTTCTCTCATTCAGTGACTGATGATGCAAAAACATATTTTTCTCATTTCAGATGAAGAGGTGGCTCACACCTGCTGTGGCCCAGGACACCGTGTGTCAGTGCATGGATGGGCTCAAGAGAGACCCTGGCTCAGGGAGTTGTCTGCATGAAGAGGCTCACACAGGTGAGTTAACCAGCTTCTCAAGCTGATGCCATCAGTTGTGCTGTAGAGGAGTTGATTTGTCAGCTGATAATTCAAGCAAAGACAGCCTATTAACTGAAACAGCAGACGCTCGCTGCAGTAGAAATGCAGGCAAGATACAAACTCGTGTTCGAATATGAATATCACGAAGAATACTGTAAAATGATATGTCTAGTCTTTTAAGGTGAACTACAAAACAGGGTTCGTTGAACACACTTTATTTATAATTCACAACTTTGAGACAGCATCATCATACCTAGCATCATCTTTATCACTATCAGCAGCATTAGTGGAGGCAATATGCAGAAGCAACTGCCTTTATCTTCCCTCTGTGGCTTCTACAGCCCCATTATATAGGAAGATCTTAGCCAATTCCCTAGGAACACCCTGGGTATTTAATGCCTTCTCCTTTCAATGAGGTAGGCATTGTTATTATTTAACGAGTAGGAACCCACAGAACATCCACGGTAAAAGGATGGCAAACATGTACAGACTTGATGTTTGCACAAACTGATGATTTTTCACCCCTATATACACTAAACCGAAAATAAATTACAATCAATCACCGCCTCTCCCTGCCACACCCTAATCCTACGTGGCGTCATCAATCCCTTGTCCTCAGCGCTCCCAGGTCTCTTGACGTCATCAACCCCTCTTCTCACTACCCCCAAGTCTCGTGACGTCATCAACCCCTCTCCTTACCAACTTCCTCAAATCTTGATTTTAATTTGAGTGGTAATGCGTTTGTTACAGATGTTCAGGGCTCGAATCCAGCAACCACCCTAATTATTGTTATGGGTATATTTGCCATAGATACTCTGTGTCTAGATTTAAAGATTTCGTGACTGCAAGGATCCATGATCTTTGGTTTTTTCGGTAAAGTCACGTAGGTAAAAATAAAATAAAATGAAAACAACTAAATTTAATCACGACGTTTCGGAAGTAACACAAGCCTCCGTCTTCAGGTGGAACCACCACAGCAAAATTACTGTAGTGAATAAAGAGAGTTGTTAGAGACACGTGATTATATAGGGTAAGAGGGGGGGGAGGAGCCAAGGAGTCGGGGGGGGGGGGGGACGCGGGGGATAAGCTACGTAAGTTAAGCTGAGGGTAAGAGAAGTGAAGTAACCAGGGTGGACAGCAGTGTAGGGAGGCGCCGTGTGGAGTCGGGGAGGGGAGTGGATTAGCTGAGTTAAGCCGATTAATAACATATATTTGATTTAACACGTAGGCTTTAACAACCAATATGAATATGCTCAGATCAACATGCAAATCGGAAGTACAGGGAGGGGCAACAAACTTAAATAAAAATCATTCCACCATGTTATCTGTAAATAACCCAATCAGTAATAGATACTGCATATTCTCAGATTAACATGATTCATTGTAATTTATATGACTATATTAAACCATCCTCTGGTCTTTGCAACTGATAGGAAGACTTATTCACAAATAGGGCTTATCTCCTAATGAAGCTGGTTGTAAATACCAGTTAAACGTCAAACTAAAATTGTAATAGTAGTGGGTGTACTCTCCAACACAACGGTGTGCTGAAATAATATCTGATTGGCACGTTTTGTTTACTAATTGTATATGTCGGCTGGTGGTAGGTTTAATGACACATTTACATTTATAAACAATCTAATCCAAAATGACTCTATTATGGAAAGCTATATTTGACGACTATGAGCTGATATTTCTGGTGGCTATCGTATATTTACCCACCTTTGACAAAAAAATGCAGAGGGTTCCCAAGTTCATATTTTTCAGCATCCTTTAGTCATTTTAAAACCACCTTCAAACATTGTGCCTATAAATCCATTACACTGATTATATTAGATTATATCTACTATTCATACTTTATATTCTTGGTTCTTTCGGTAAAGTCACATAGAAGGGAAACAATAATATAATAAAAATATAAAATAATAAAATCCTCACGACGTTTCGATTGCAACACAAGCAATCATCATCAGGTGTGAAAACCACAGCAAGAATATTTGAAAAAAGTGGCGGTTTATTCTTAACGTTAGCACCACAGACAGCATGCGCGGCGAGGTGCGGAGCAGCGGCGGAACCCGCGGCCACTTCCTCGAGCACGGCGAAGGACGGAGCCATGGTGTCACCAGCGGCCCAACCCGGCGGCGCGGCGAGGTTAAAATACACGGCCGTACTTGGGGCTCCCCCGGTGGGCGCAGCGTGGTGTGGAGCTGCGGGATCGCCAGCGGCCAACCCCGCAGGCGCGGCGTGAAGTGGAACCCCAGCTGCGGCCGTGGTGGAGAGCGGCATCGCGGCGTCCATGGCACCGACTTGCGGCGTCGCAGACAAAATTGCGGCCGCTTGCGGCGCCTCAGCCAACATGGCCGCCGCTGGTGGCGTCGCAGCCAAAATGGCGGCCGTCTCCTGCGGCGCAGCCATTGGGAAAATGGCGCCGAATTCAAAAGTGGTGGGAGGCTCCCATTCCGAGTGTGGGCCGGGTGGCTGCAATCGCGCTCTCACCTCGGTAATTGTGGCAGAGAGCTGCGTCATCGCCTGCAGGATCAGCTGCAGCTGCCCCGCGCAGGCGCGCCCCGCCGTCTCCTCCCGCTCCGTCCAAGTCTTCTCCCCCGGGGGCCGTCACCGGGGCCCCAGACTCCGGGGTCACTGCCGGAGCCTCCTCCACTCCATCTTCGACCTCAGATCATACCTTCGGAAGGTTCTTGTGCCGCGCGCCAGATTTTGACATGGTCGCGGCAGCGCAGGCACTCTGACACCAGTTGTAGAAGAGTTCCAGACAACTCGGAGACGGAGGTGAAGTTTAAGGGCTTGCGCTGATAGTTTATTAAGGCTATTGCCAATAATACAGGAGATACACTTCCCCACAAGGCTCGGCTCTATCTGTTCCCTTCCACAGCAGGCTGCCCCATGCTGTCTCCTCTGCACTGGCCGTGGGTTCAGCCAACAACGGCCGACCGAGGAGCGCAGCCACACTTAGCCCTTACGCTGCGCTGTTACAGATCCCTACCCCCTTGCCCCTGGCCCTCCATTCCACCCTGCTCAGTCCCTTGACTCCAGCTACGATCCCGCTTACGTCATGGGCTCCCTTTTAAGTACCTTTGCGGGACATGACGTCATCCCGCCCCCAGGCACGCATGACGCAAGCTCCCGTGATGTCATCGACCCTGGAGGCGAGCGTGACATCAGGTCCGCAACTAGTCCTCTACAATTGTAGGGGGTGGTAGGTGTCCTCGCGGAGTTTGTTGAAAAAGGATCTTTGTTTTGCTGGTATTCAATGTTAGACCCATCCTGCTGTCAGCATCTGTAAATATGTTGACAATGACCTGAAGGTCAACTTCTGAGCAGGCACTGACTTGGGCATGATAAGCATATTGGAATTTGACTTGGCTCTGACACAGTTGATGTTGAATATGTTCACGGCTATACTCTTTGGTTCTTTCGGTAAGGTCACGAAGGTATAAAATAAAATAAATCACGACGTTTTGATTGCAACACAAGCAATCATCATCAGGTGGGAACACCACAGCCGGAATTTTTTTTGCTGAAGTGGGAGAGAGATACCGTGGTAGGAGGTTATATAGGTAAGAAAGGAGGGAGGGGCAAGGGGGGGAGAAAGGGGGGGGGATGTGGAGTAGGGGAAGGGGAGTGCTGCGTGGATGCTAGGAGAGGGACGTGAAGCTGGATGGGGGGAATTGGACAGGGCTGGAAGTGGGAGGCCTAGAGAACTTGGGATGCGGGGGGGGGGGGGAATTTAACTCGGAAAAATAGACTAGTACCCGGCAGATATGATAGACAACAACCACAAAGCAGTTAGGGTTTTACCTGGTTCATAAAATCCTTCCAATGATTGCTAATTGGAAGGATGTTACATCGTTTCCCCGATGTAACTGCTGCAGCAGGTAAAACTCAGTTTGTAAACTCCAGAATATTGCATGTCAGGAATGACATCCTTCACAGATGGGATTAGATCACGGATTTTGTGTACTGTATTGAATTGGACCTGAATCTTGCGTTTGTTTAAGATATTGGAAATCTTTTTGGTAACACCTGCTATGTATGGTAAGATTATGGTTTTGATTGGCTTCTCAGGGTCTCCATAGTTGGAGAAACAGCTTTGCGAATAATGCGGTCCGAGTACCCATTCATCTTGAGGGACTGGTGTACGTGACCCAGTTCACTGGCTAGGTGGTGTTGGTCGGAAATGCAGTGGGCCCTATGATGTAGTGTTTTAATAAGGGAATTCTTCTGTGCCGGATGGTGGTGGGAGTCAGGTTTCAGATAGGAATCTGTGTGGGTAGATTTCCTGTAGACAGAGTGACCCAACGAGCCGTCAGGTCTCTTCTCAAACACAACATCGAGGAAAGGTAGCTTACCATCCTTCTCCACTTTCATGGTGAATTTGATGAATGGGTGTATGGAATTAATGTGGTTGAGAAATTGGTTCGAAGTTGGCAGGCCATGTGGCCAAATGACCAAAGTATCATCTACAAGGCAGATCTGAAACACGGCAGAACCAATACCTCTGCCGTAGCTGACCTTTGTAATAACACTGTGGGCTCACATGATATTGTGTTTTCCGAGACCAAGGTACTCTATAAACCTTCGGGCTACTATCAAAGGTTTGTTCATGAAGCCATCCAGATATATAAACATAGACATAACCCCCCCCCCCCACCCCTAGGCCCATGCCGGCATGGTATCTCACCAGCCGTTGCCTACCGCACACTAGAAGGATGTTATTAATATGATAATATCCCAATAGCCTCGGGGCTACAGAAAATAACGACAACAGCTTAACCCCCGCCCCCAATTTCCACACGCCGCCCCCCCCCCCCGCATCCCTCCTCCATGGCTCTTACCCTATATAATCGCTTGTCGCATGCAGCTCTCTCTGCCCACTACAGTAAAAAACATTTTGCTGTGGTTGTCCCACCTGATGACAGCATCTTGTGTTGCCTCCGAAACGTCGTTAATTAGTTATTTTTTTATTAATATTTTTTCACCTATGTGACTTTACCGAAATAACCAAAGAGTATGGATCATTGTAGTCACGAAAACTTCAAATCTAGGATGAGGCAGTTGTGGAGAGAGTGGAGAATTTCCCATACCTTGGCAGTGTACTAATGACCAGCTCCGGTTTAACAGCAGAGGTTTCACCCTGAATCAGTCGAGCTGTGTGGAAGCTACCAGGTCTATCACTCCGCAGGAAGCTTCAGGTTTTCTCGGCCACGGTCAGTCACTCCCTTCTCTATGCTTGCAAAACTTAGACCCCCCTAATAGAACATCTTCGCTGGTGAGAAACATTGAGGATGGCCTGCCTGGATCCATCCTGGGTTTAACCAGGCTGGATTGTGTGAGGAGCTCATAAATCCTTGAAAGATGTGGACAAAGTCCCATTGGTGAGCTCCTCCGGCAGTCAAGGCTGCGTTGACTGGGTCATGTAGCCCGCATGCGCAGTCATCGCATGCCTAAACAGCTTTTGTTCAGCCACATCGAGGGGGCTAAACGGGCGCGGCACTGGCTAGAGAAGAGATGGAGTGATGTGGTACAGGAGGACGTAGAGCTAAGTGGACTTGCCGATGACTGGTACCAGCAGTGTCAAGATCGGCCTCTGTGGAAGAGGCTCGTGAAGGACGCTACTGGGCAGTTGGAGGTAGTCGCCCTCCAACAACAACGGAGGGCGGAGGAGCGATACTCACAACAACGAGAGAAGCACCGGGTGGCTAATGCAGAGCAAGTTGGCACAGTAGGGGGCACAAGTGGTGCATCAGCCAGTCGTCTCGGTCAGTCGACCTGTATCATCTGAGTCTACCCCGTGACCTCCTACCAGCGGGCATTCGACACTTCATGTGGCCTCAAGGTGCATATAGCCTGGCACAAGCGTTGCGGAAACGTCACCGCCACTTAGTGGCGAATGGCGGTTGTTGTTCAGTCTATGTATGTATGTGTGAGTCGATATGTGTGTGCAAGTCTATGTGTGTGTGTGTGTGAGTCGATTTGTGTGTGTAACTACATGTGTGTGTTTAAAGTCGATGTCTGTGTGAGTCCAAAACAACCCCCTACCTCCTCGCGGTGTCAGACGGGCAACTCTGTCGTGGACAGTGCTGTGGGGGGAGGGCCAATTCCCATTGGCCCTTCCCCTCATAGCGTCTGTGACCACCACAGTGGCTAAACGGGGGCTCTGGATGGGTGCGAGGGGCTGGTAACCCCTCCACCTTCAAAAAATTACCACGAAACCACGACTTAAATATATAACTAATAACCTTGTGCCGGAGGCCCCGGGGGGACAGGCATCTATAACGTCTCCTGGCCAAACCCCAATTGGCAGAGCCAGTAGATTGAATCACTACCCTCGGGGCTCCTCCAGAAACAACAAAAAGCCACTTCGTGTGGCCACGTGGAATGTTTGAAAGCTCACTGCGGAGGAGAGGCTGCCACTCCTCTGTCGGGAGCTGGACCAGTACCGCCTGGATCTCTGTGACATTTAGGAGGTCCGGTGGACCGGTTCTGGCTCCTGGCACTATAAGAGGTGGACAGTCCTCTGCTCGGGGCAGCAGACTGCCAAACAACAGGGTGTGGCTCTTCTTTTGAACAAAAGAATAAAGGGGGCGTGGGAGCGCGGCGGTGAGGTGTGAGAAGCTGTATGCTCCATGCTACTTTGGGCTCGCCTTCTCATTAACCGGAGACGAGGAGTGGTGGTCGTGGTTACTTATGCCCCCACCGAAGACGAACATCCATGGAGGGATGCAGGCAAAGCTGATGGGTCAGATTCCTTCTATGACCTCCTGTAACAGGTGCTGGCTAAAGTAGCCCCTTGGGATAGAGTCACCTTGTTGGGTGACTTTAATCCCCGAGTTGGTCATGATGCTGGCACCTGGTCTGGAGTGATTGGAGGGCATGGGCCAGATCAGCTCAATAACAACGGTAGGAGGCTGCTAGATTTTTGTGCAGCCCATGGGATTGTAATTACCAACATGCTGTTCCAGCATCGGCGCATCCACACATCATGGATGCATGCCGGGTCCAAGCAAGAACATCTGCTGGACTACATAGTGACGGACCAGCGGATGCGAGCCCATGTCCTTGACACCAGGACCTACCGTGGAGCTGATCTGCCCTCTGACCATCGACTTGTCATCTGTAAGATGCGCCTGCCATTCTTCCACCCCGGTGGAGGGTGTACACCCAGGACCCCATTCCAACCTCAAGTGGCCTGGTCTCAGTTAGCTGATGAAAGTTGCAAGCGAGAATTTCATCATCGTTTACGGCTGTGGTTGGCATCGTCCCCCACTCCCCCTGATGTCGAGGGTAAATGGGCAAGGTTTAGGACTGTGACTCATGCAGCAGCAATGGCTGCTTTGGGTACGCGGCCCAGACCTCCCCATAGACTATGGCTGACAGAGCAGGTGTTCAGGATAGTTGAGAAAAGGCGACCGGCCCACTGTCATCGGCTACAGAATCCCACGTCAGAGAATGAGGAGGCTTACCGCAGCCTTCGCTCGGAGGTTTGGAGAGCTGTAAGGCGCTGCAAGGATGGGTGGTGGTCGCAGGTTGCTGAGGATCACAAATCTCTATTTAACTCCATCAAAAAGGTAACCTGCAGCGCCACACCTATTACCATAATTAGGGGAAAAAACGGTGTTTCAATCTCCGACCCCCAGGAACAGGTTTGCAGATTTGCTGAGCATTTCTGTGAGGTCCTGGGGGAGGGGAAACCCCTCAGCCAGGAAAACATTGTGGCACAAAGTGGGGATGACCCTGCTGAGACTGTGGTGCCTCAAATATTGGAAAAAGTCACCCCCTGTGAGTGGCTGGCTGAGGTGCCATCTGTTGAGCAAGTACTGAAGGCGATCCGGAGTTTGAGACCAGGAAAGGCACCGGCAGAGATGATCTCTCAAGCGAAATGCTGAGGA